GAAAATAAATTGGGAGTATGGTTAAAAGGTCAATAGAGTGTGATTGACTCACCCACCGGTGTTAAAATTAGCATAGGCTCCTCTAGTAATTTGTATTGGGGCTTTCCTAACTTTCGGATATTTTGCTTGCTTTCTTTCCTTTTTCCTTCTTAATTTCTCCTTACTTATCCTTTGCCTGCTTTTTTCGGTTCTCATTCTCTTCCTTTCCTTTTCCGTTTTTGTTTTCCTTCATAATATATGCTTTCCCATCATATTTTCCCTTTTGTACCATTCCTTTGATCTCAAATCTTTCTTTTTTTTCTTTTTTCTTTTTTCTTTTTCTTTTTCTTTTTCCTTTGACATTCCTCTTTCCTTTCCTTTCTTGCCATTCCTCTTCTTTCTCATCATCCTCTTTCTCCATTTCTTCCTTTTCCTTTTCCAACTTGATAACCCTTTTCCCTTCCAGAAAAGGATCACAATCTACCCATTTCTTCTTCTCCCTCTTGATCTTCATTCTTCCCGTCTCCCTTTTCAAATTCCTACCCAAATCCATAATCTAAGCACGACGTGAATGGAACAAAAAGGGAAGGAGCTCGGTCCACCTTTAGCGAATAGAACTTAAAACAAAAACAAAGGAAGTCCGGGCAATTTTCTGCCAGAGGCTACCACAGTGGGGATTTATTGTTTGCTAATTCTAAGTGAATTGACACATAATAGAAATTTGCAAATCCAGTGTTCTTGGTCAGAAATCAATCCATAACCTCTTTCTTGAGAAAATTTGATGACGAACTGGAGCATAGGATGAATGCCTCAAAAAGTAACCATTTTTTGCAGATCATTGTTGGAGATCTGAAGTAGCCTTGGCAAGCATAACTTTCCGAGTATATCTTTATCCTGCTTAGTTCCCCTCATCATTTTTCTGGTTGCTGATCAAAGAGCAAATTGAAGTTTAGATTCGCAAAGATTAGTTTCGACGAGACCTTGTCAATTAATGCTTAAATTTCTGACAAATCCATACTATATATAAAATGGAATTTTTAAGCCCAAGCCTAGTGGGAGCATCTAAATTTTTTGATTTTTTGATTTGAAAAAAAAAATCTTAATATTTATTAACTTCTCTCAATTCCTAATGCTGTGTTTGGTTGGGGGATTTGGGGAGAGATTTGGAAAGGGAAATGGAAAAGGTAGGTGAAATGTGAATAAAACATGCCTATATTTCACCTAGTTTCACACACCTTTTCCCTTTCTCTTTCCAAATCCCTCCCCAAATTCCCCAATCAAACACAGCATAAGTCTTACCCTTGTAATAACACTTTAATGCATTAAGAACAAGCATAAAAAAAATTCTTTGAAATCCAACACATATGGATTCCTTAAAAAGTTCCAACACATATGATTATTATCTCTCGTAATAACACTTTAATGCATTAAGAACAAGTATAAAAAAAATTCTTGAAAAATTCAACACATATGATTATTATCAAAATATTAAACTTTAATATAATATAATAAAAAAAACATTTAATTCCTTAAAAAGTCCAACACATATGATTATTATCAAAATATTAAACTTTAATATAATATAAAAAAAGAAAAAAAGAAGATATTTAAAAAATAAAAAATATATATTTAAAAATCACAATTCACGTATATAGATAATTGTAAACACAATCCGTGCATAGCACGGATGATATGCTAGTATGTCATAACTCAAATGCCCAAAATAGACTCCCATTTATGTTGTGTTTGGTTGGGGGATTTGACGAGGGATTTGGAAAATGAGAGAGAAAAAGTGTGTGAAACTAGATGAAATATATGTAGGTTTTATTGGCATTTCACCTACTTTTTCCATTTCCCTTTCCAAATCTCTTCCCAAATCCCTCAACCAAACACAACATTAAGGTTTACTGTTTTATTCTCTGAAATTATAGTAGGAATGCATCTTCTTTCTTGCTCAAAGGACTCTTCTAAACACTCATTTCTTACTCTCTCAATCTAAACTGGAAACAGCTTGGTGAGCAAACTAAAAATGAGGTTTAATGCCATCACCGTCGTGTACCCTTGAAGTTGATAACTAATTCCATGTTCCAAATTTAATATTATGCATAATTACCCGAATGCGTGGGTGATTTTTAGGATTGTAAGTTAAATACAAATTTTCTATAAGTTGAAATTTAACAGTGAGATTATGCTTCAAATTGCAGCATGAACCACAAATTTGCTTCTTGGTTTTCATGTCAGTGTTGCTGCTTATTCCATCATAAATCCATCTTGTTCAAATCAAAGCAATATTAGATTTTAAGAATTTACCTGTTTTGTTGAATTTTTGTTTTCTCATTTTTTTGGAAAAACACATAAATTGTCGATCATAATCGTTGCTGTTACATTTGCTAGGGAAGATTGTTATATATATAAGAAACAATTGTTGAATTCACCCATGTGTGAAAGGGGTGATCATCCAAGTCAAGTTTGGTTGGCAACAATGGGAAGGCAACCAACCAAAGTCCACCTTGGCGGCCACCAACCATCTTGAAGAGTCAAGAATGGAGGCTGCCCAAAGGCTCTCCCACCTACTCCCTCACCTATAAATGGAGGTTGAGAGGAGAGAGCAAAATGTGAGCAAACCGTGAGACAACAAAGAGAGTGAGAGATGTGAGGCGGAGAGACCGTCTCTCTCGGTGTGAGCGAGGGAGACGGGTGAGTGTCTGAGTGAGGAGAGTGTGAGCTCCTCCTCTATTGTAATCTTTCTGTAATCTCCTCATTGGTATAGTGATAACCGGTTACTCTCCCGTGGACGTAGGCATTGGGCCGAACCACGTAAAATATTGTGTCTCCTTGTGTGTGGGTGTGTTTTTCTGCTTGCAATGATTTCTATAAGGTCTTGGGCGGGATCCCAGATCCCAACAATTATTTCCTCTAGAAGAATTGACCAAGGCATCCAAATTAGCTTGAAAAGGTTCATAATTTTTCTTGACTTCAGTTGAACATTGAATGAAGATCAATATGGTTAAAAGGTCTTCATACTAAGGCTATGTTTAGATTATGTATTTGGGTAGAAATTTCGAAAGGAAAAGAAAAATGTGAGGGAAAATAAATTGGGAGTATGGTTAAAAGGTCAATAGAGTGTGATTGACTCACCCACCGGTGTTAAAATTAGCATAGGCTACTCTAGTAATTTGTATTGGGGCTTTCCTAACTTTTGGATATTTTGCTTGCTTTCTTTCCTTTTTCCTTCTTAATTTCTCCTTACTTATCCTTTGCCTGCGTTTTTCCGTTCTCATTCTCTTCCTTTTCTTTGCCCTTTTTGTTTTCCTTCTTAATATATTCTTTCCCATCATATTTTCCCTTTTGTACCATTCCTTTGATCTCAAATCTTTCTTTTTTCTTTTTTCTTTTTCTTTTTCTTTTTCCTTTGACATTCCTCTTTTCCTTTCCTTTCTTGCCATTCCTCTTCTTTCTCATCATCCTCTTTCTCCATTTCTTCCTTTTCCATTTCCAACTTGATAACCCTTTTCCCTTCCAGTAAAGGATCACAATCTACCCATTTCTTCTTCTCCCTCTTGATCTTCATTCTTCCCATCTCCCTTTTCAAATTCCTACCCAAATCCATAATCCAAGCACGACATGAATGGAACAAAAAGGGAAGGAGCACGGTCCACCTTTAGCGAATAGAACTTAAAACAAAAACAAAGTAAGTCCGGGCAATTTTCTGCCAGAGGCTACCACAGTGGGGATATATTGTTTGCTAATTCTAAGTGAATTGACACAAAATAGAAATTTGCAAATCCAGTGTTCTTGGTCAGAAATCAATCCATAACCTCTAAATTTTTTGATTTTTTGATTTAAAAAAAAAATTAACATTTATTAACTTCTCCCAACTCTTAAGTCTTACCCTCGTAATAACACTTTAATGCATTAAGAATAAGCATAAAAAAAAAATTTTGAAATCCAACACATATGAATTCCTTAAAAAGTCTCAACACATATGATTATTATCTCTCGTAATAACACTTTAATGCATTAAGAACAAGTATAAAAAAAATTCTTGAAAAATTCAACACATATGATTATTATCAAAATATTAAACTTTAATATAATATAATAAAAAAAAGACATTTAATTTCTTGAAAAGTCCAACACATATGATTATTATCAAAATATTAAATTTTAATATAATATAATAAAAAAAATTTAATTTCTTAAAAGTCTAACACATATGATTATTATCAAAATATTAAACTTTAATATAATATAAAAAAAGAAAAAAATAAGACATTTAAAAAATAAAATATATATATTTAAAAATCACAATTCACATATATAGATAATTGTAAACACAATCCGTGCATAGCACGGGTGACATGCTAGGATGTCATAACTCAAATGCCCAAAATAGACTCCCATTTATGTTATGTTTGGTTGGGGGATTTGATGAGAGATTTGGAAAGGGAGAGAGAAAAGTGTGTGAAACTAGATGAAATATATGTATGTTTTATTGGCATTTCACTTACCTTTTCCATTTCGCTTTCCAAATCCCTCCTCAAATCCTCAACCAAGCACAGCATTAAAGTTTACTGTTTTATTCTCTGAAATTATAGTAGGAATGCATCTTCTTTCTTGCTCAAAGGACTCTTCTAAACACTCATTTCTTACTCTCTCAATCTAAACTGGAAACAGCTTGGTGAGCAAACTAAAAATGCGGTTTAATGCCATCACCGTAGTGTACCCTTGAAGTTGATAACTAATTCCATGTTCCAAATTTAATATTATGCATAATTACCCGAATGCGTGGGTGATTTTTAGGATTGTAAGTTAAATACAAATTTTCTATAAGTTGAAATTTAACAGTGAGATTATGCTTCAAATTGCAGCATGAACCACAAATTTGCTTCTTGGTTTTCATGTCAGTGTTGCTGCTTATTCCATCATAAATCCATCTTGTTCAAATCAAAGCAATATTAGATTTTAAGAATTTACCTGTTTTGTTGAATTTTTGTTTTCTCATTTTTTTGGAAAAACACATAAATTGTCGATCATAATCGTTGCTGTTACATTTGCTAGGGAAGATTGTTATATATATAAGAAACAAAATTTCTGACAGTGGAAACCATTGTCATAGATATCTCATTTCCTGAGTTGTAAACTCTGCACAATCTTACAGTGCCATTGTAAAGCCAATTCTAACCTAAAAGCCGTACAGTTACTGCAATAAGGGCATTGAGACTCTCTCTCTCTCTCTCTCTCTCTCTTCCGTGCAAATGTGCTCTGACGTTTAAAAAGCTTTTCTACGTATCGGAAGGATCAGGGGAATGCAAGGGGAATATAGCTTTGCTATTCTGCCTCAGCTGTGGTGATGAGTTCCCTATATCTTGAAATGGTGAGCGTTTTGGCACCAAAAGTCCATTGCTGCATGTTTGTGCTTTTCTTCTTCCATCACTAAAGATCTCCTGCTGCTTACTCCCTTTGTCATTAACACGATGATTTTCCTTCAAGCGACAAATTAGCACACACTTCTCCTTTGCAATCTGAGCACCCAATGAAATTGGTGCCAAATCTTTGGTCTTTGTGACTTCCTTGCTTTTCTCAACCCTTAACTTCTCGAGCTCCCCTCTAAGTACAGATGTTTCTGTTTGCAGTTCATTGGCCTTGGCTTCTAATGTGAGAGCTTTCTGTCTCCATTCTTGCACCTAACAAAGCAAGCACCAATGTACCAATATAACTGACATAGTTTTCTTTGTTTTCCTTTTTTTTCTTTTTAATAGTAATCAAAGACACAGTTTATCCGCCATGGAAGCCTATCAGACATTTGCAAATTTCTTGCCACGTCTAAGCTTGCGATATTGAAATTATTTTCTTCCCCTAATGACATCATGATCAGGTAATGAGAATCTTAATTTATATTGAAAAGAATTTTAAATCTAATTAATTAATAATGATATGAGGCTACATGTAGCCAATATCATTGTAATTAAAAGGGTTCTTTGAACATGTTTTCCAAATATCAATACTTAATTCAAAAACCGAAAAAAGAAATAAGGGAAAGCAAAAATGAGCAGCCATATATCTGTTTTTAAAACATCAAAAATAAGTTTGAAGTTTTATGTTCTGGAAATTGGTATTGATTTTCAGTACTGCATATTCCCTGTGAACCCTGCTAGGATTTCTTGGATGCTCCTAATAGAGCTCTTTAAAAAAAAATTCCATCTAAAATTTTCTCCACAAAATATTAAACCACAAGTACTATTATGCAAGCAGTATGGTCTATTATTCATCTTATTTAAGTCATATTTTTCAATCTACCTATCAATATGGTGATATTAAGAAAACTGTAGACAGGCACTTCATGAGAGACATATAGAATGATTTTTTCTTACTTCGGAATGTAGGGATTGGATTTCATAATCAGAATCAAGAGCACGATCTTCCCAAAAATCCCGAGATGCCTGTAATTCTTCCATCTCCTCCCTCACCTGCCCCAGCATCCCTTGCATCTGTGACCACTGCTCTGTCTCTGCTCGCACTTGCTCTACAATCCTCTGCACTATAGCCTTGCAACGTCCTGAGCATTTGTTCTCATCATGCAAAGATAGGTCCTGCATGAAAAAAAAAATTGGTTTTTGTTCGAAACAAAAATCTATATTTCAGTCACGATAAATCAACTGAAAATATGCCTAGAAGGGATTAACAAGCCCATTTCTGTGTTATGTAGAATGTTAGATGAGTTTATTCTATTTCTTAGAGCTTTTAAATGAGCCTATTTTATAACATCCCTATTTTCTTACTTGATAATTATGTGCCGAACAATAGAAACTATCAATTTCATGGCACATAAAATGGCTTTTTCTGTGTGCAACGAGTTCATCATCATGTGCTGCATACAAGTAAAAAATGGGGAAATGGCTACATCTAAATCTTACTTATTCTTGTTATGCAATCACATTCACATCATCCACCTGTAGTAGGCAATCAAGTTGCAACACGATACTCTTTCAATTTGTTTTCTATAAACAAATTGAAGAGTCTGCATTAACTCAATACCTATGAAGAAATTTCTAGTTGCATAGGATAATAGGAATTTTCAGTGGTTTCATATAAACATTGTAAGGCTTTTGCCCATGGGGTGTTCTTAGGGTTGTACTTCTAGCCCTAAAAGATGGGAACCCTTTTTTTTTTTCAAATCCTCTTTTAAGCACTGAATTCTTTGCACCATTTCAGGGTGATAGAATCAACAATATTGTGTCTAGTAAGTTAACATATAATCAATTAACTAAGAGCAATATTGTCAGTTTGAAAATGAATAACTTAACAATAATAATAATTTAACAGTGAAGAATTTAGACCTTTACCTGATAGGGATGTCTTGTAGAGAAAGAAGAAGAATCGGGAAATTCAATCCGCTTGGAGGTGGAAGCAGAACTGTTGGCTGTAGTCGAAAGCATTGACCCATATTCCTCCATTCTATCTAACATCACTTTTGACAGTCCCTCCATTTTCCTTCTCAGATCCTGCACCTGCACCGCTCTTTTCTCAAATCAAACTAATCCATATATAGATATAGTATTAATTACTAAAACACTTAGAACACAAAAATAATAAATAAAAAGAAGAAGATATATAGATAATAAAAGAAGTGTGACCTATAAGTTCCTGCTAAAGCAGAGTCTAGATAGTGCAAGATATTTACAACCTTACTCCCATTTCTTAAGAGGTTGTTTCCGTTACTTGAACTAATCCTTATATAGATATTGATTACTCAAACTCATACAACACAAAAATAATAAATAAAAATAAGAAGTAATATAAAAGGCGACCCGGCGACCCAGTGCAAGGTTTTGAGAGGGCAAGGTGCATGCAACCTTGCCCCCATTTTTGGAGAGCTTGTTTCTGTGACTCGAACCTACGTGCCATTAGAGACTCTAATGGCTAGAAACAAGATTTTGAGTCTGCAGCACATTTGGCAACCCAGAAAATGAAAAATTCCTCTTAACTAATCCTAATACAACTATAATGAATGCTAAACAAAGCTGTGCATTGTATATGAATCAAAACATGAAGAATTTACAAAGTGATAATCATACTTACATCAGTGAACTTATTGTTGCTTTTGCGAGCAGCTGTGAAGCTCTGATCGGTGATTTGATGTTTGACATTGATCGAAAAGCTTGCTTCAGCCATCTCTCGCATCTCTTTCACACATTTCTCATCCCATAACTGTCCAAGATTTTCTAGCCGACGCTGCAAAAGAGAGGCTTTCTCATCAAAATTATTAGAGTGTTGAACCCTAAAATCTTTGGTTCTAGAGCTCTTCTGTAACTCCCCTAACTTATCCTCTAAATCCTCGATCTCTTCCTCCAATACCGCCTTTGCGTTCTTTCCTTGGTAAATTTTCTTCCTTCCCTACAACCAATCATCAGATTAATAGCCATGAACACAAAATCTATAACTAAAGAAGCAAGTGAGTTTGAACAAAAACACAAGAGGGTTGAGAATAATTATTTGAACAAAACCTTACAAGTACTGATCTATTGAAATAGGGTATGAAAACTATACCTTTCCATTTGGTTCCAGTGAAACAGAGGAAAATAAAAGAGAACAATTTAAGGGCAGTGCTATCAGTAATTTTTCGATTGACAAAATACAAATAACCTAATTAAAGAAATGCAAAATAGCTTTATTTGTTTCAGTTAATTTCAAAGTTAACCTGGGTCTGGAACCTTAGGACTCGAAAATCGTTATTTTCTTTCATTTTCCTACATTTTCTCAGCAGCCAAACACAGACTTTTTTAACCAATTAAAATCAGAAACAGAGAGAGAGAGAGAGAGAGACTAACAGAAACCAGAGTCTGAACAGCTGAACGCAGAGTTCTCTCCATATGAAGTCGATTCCTCTCCAACTTCTTCAGAGCAAACTCTCTTTCCATCCTCAGAAAATTACACTCAGCCCTCAAAATCTCCGCCTGGAACCTCCACTTCTCCTCCACCGACCCACCACCATTTCCACGCTCTTCAACCCTCTCTCTCCTCTCATCATCATCATCACCACCACTACTGGAGTTCAACAGCACAATCGGAACAGTTCTCGAGAAAGTCCGTTCTTGATCGAACAGAGCATCCAGCCTTCCCCTGTAGTTCCCCCGGAACTCGCCGGAGACTTGTGGTTTTGCGGCGGCCTTTCTGGGTTGTTTCCGGCGAATCCGCCGTGGTAAGTTCAGGATCTTCGGGCTCGGCGGCGGTGGCGGAGTTGGCTGCCATTTGTGCCTCCTTGTCGTTGTTGTTGTTGATGATGACATTCTCTCTCTCTCTCTCTCTCTCTCTCTCTGTGTGTCTAATGTATGCTCTGTTCTGTATCGCTATCTTTTCTTACTTAAAATGTGCTTTTTGGAATGGAGATAAATTTATTTTTTTTTTAAATGAAGAAGAGATAGAGATGGGTTGGTTTGAAAGGTGGTCTATGGGTATGTTTGAATTCAACGGTAGAGAGAGAAAGATGGAGGGATGATGAAGATATAGAGAGAGATTGATATATTTATATATATATATATATTCAGGCGTGCCACCTCGTTTTCTGAAAGAACATGGATTTTGAAATGAAGGCTATTTCCGTCCCTTGGAAATTTAGGCCGGAAAGTTTGAGTAAAGTTAAAAAGTTATTTAAAAAGTTAAAAAGTTAATATTATTCATCAAAAGTCAACAATTACGACTGCACAACTCTCAATTTTAATTTTTCTTTACAAATCAATTTTTATAATTTTTTATTACACATTTTTTCATAAAAAGTCAAAAAGTTAATCCAAACATTTATATTTTTTCTCTCAACTTTTTAGTCTAAAAATACAAAAAGTATATTTATTTATGACACCCTAAACAACCCCTTAATTCTTTCACATTTTAATGTTTTTATTATTTTTTTCTTTTAATATTATTAGAAAGGGGAAGGATTTCCTTCCGTTCATATTTTAAACAGCGGTGATTAAAAACTCTAATAATACAACTTTAATAATAAAATTCTAATGACGTAACAATTTAAAAAAAGTAAAACAAAACAAAGATTAAAATATCAAATTACACAATAGGACCCACAAGTTAGAGCTCTTCTAGAGTTCACAATTTAGAGGTCTAAAGCATTTTTCTATTTTAATTGAAGGGTGTTATTTGAATTTTTAAAATTTATCATGAATTTTATTTTAATAGTTTGAATTATTTATTTTGTCAGATAGTTTGTATATTTCACCAAAAATTAATTAAATCGATTTGATAATTATAATTTGTTCAATTTTTTATTTAAAAAAATGGACAACAATTATGTTTTTAAAAACAAACCATATTTTTTTTTTAGTGACAAACGTAATAAATTGAATAAGTTACAATTATTGAATCAATTTAATTTTTGTATGGATGAAATACATAAAGTGTCTAACAAAATGAACAGTTCAAATTATCAAAACGGAACCGGTGATAAGCCTCACAAACCTATACAGCACCCTCCATCCTAAAACTTAGATCGGAGGGGAATCTCCTCCTATTGGTAAAGACTATGTACACACTTCATAAAGAGAGTGTATCATATATATCTTATAGTTATAGAAAATAAAATGACATAACTCTATACTTTTTGAGTTATAACTAAAAAAAATCATAAGGAGTGATTTGGAATTATCTAAATAAGTATATTTTTTGACTTTTTATAAAAATATGGGTTGAATTTGAAGTGATATGGTAGAGAAGTGATGTAAAATAAAATGATATGACTTAAATAGGATAGTGACTTTTTGACTTTTTAACTTTTTTAGAGGATGACAAACAAGGTCTAAATCTAAACACCAAAAAAAAAAAAAAAAAATCATAACCAAATATTTTAAAATAATGTCATAATAAAAAAAAATTCATCTTAACTGTAAATATAAAAAATAAAAAAATAGCATAATTAACTGTGCATGTAACCCGTGATATTTATAATAAAATTCTCAAATTCTCCAATATTATTTTCTCAAGGAAATCCGAGAAAATGAGGCACCAAAGTAATTGACTACCAGTCTGTTCCAATTGAATGATTTTACAAAGAAAATAAAATTAAAATGGGTAAATTAGACGGACATCCTTGACATTTTTGTTTAATACAAATTCTCCATTCACGTTTAAAAAATTATAATTATTTTTTTTTTAAATTAAAATAACATATTTATCTCTTAGTCTTTATACATATAAAATAATAAAATAATGTTAATATTTTGTTCATATCATTTTAAGAGAAAAAATAATAATTTTCTTTGGTTTAACTCACACAAAAAAGTAATTTTTTTATTTTTCGTTTTTTTATTTTTACGATTTTTTTAATATTTTAAGTAATTTTTTATTTTTATTTTTTAGATGCACCTTATTTATATATACTTCAGAAATATAATATTTTGGATATTTTGTTTTAGGGCCCCTGGCATTAAAATTTTATAGCATAAAAGACATTAAATATTTTTATAATGTCTAAAGTCCCTCAAATCGATCCAAAGAAAAATCAATCCAAAGAAATTATTACACTGAACTTCCCAGAAAAATTCTCTTCAAACCAGATAAATTTGTCTCATTACGTACAGAAAATTACTCTGGGTTTAAACCAGAGAAAATTTTCTCAATTGATAAAGGACATTAAATATTTTTTATATCATGTGACAACTATTTTGAGAAAGAAAAAAAAATCAAAACTGAGAAAAAATAAACTTTAAAACTGTGTTTGATTGGGGGATTTGAAAAGGGAATATGAAAAGGTAAGTAAAATGTGAATAAAATATACTTACATTTCACGTAATTTCATACGCTCTTTCTTTTTTTCTTTTCAAATCTCCTAACCAAATATAGCGTAAGGGAGAAAGTGAAAAAAATGATCAAGGAAAAAAGTGCAATTTACTCAAATTTCAATTATAAATATCAATCTTTTACCTCTATCTAAACATTATCTAAAAATTTGTTAATATAATATTTTGTTTTTGAAAAATTTAATGAGAGAGGGAATTTGATGCATTTAATTAGGATAAATATTAATAAGTGTCCCTTATGTATTGTTTAATGTTAGAAAATGTATAAAATGTCTTGAAAATATGTAAAATTATTAAAATATATATATTAATTTTAATAAAAATAAATTAAATTAAATATAAAAAAATCTTATATTCTCTAAATTTTTATCTTTCTACTTGTATCTAATCGACACTTAAATAGTAAAAGAAAATTGTTTATATGGGGACATAATTTTTGAATGACAACATGTGGCCGAGGTGTCACCGAAGTGCCAGCCGAGGTGCCACGTGTCCTGGTCATGACGCCGAGATAATCTCGTCTAGGCCGAGGTTATCTTCGAAGATACCATAATTTGAAATAAGCGGATAAGGAACAAGAGTCCTAGAATTTAGAATGGAAAAGGACTTCAGTTTGGATAAAGATAAGACTCTTAGAGAGTTTATCTCAATCCTACTAGGAGTCCAAGATTAGCAGTAATCCTAAGTCCATTGAAGCTAGACTTCTATTGGGATTAGGTAAGTGTTAGCTATAAAAGAGAGGCACCCCATGGGTCTAAGGTATGCTTTTATGCTCTGAATAGTGAGTTAAGCACTTTTGCTATATTTGAGAGATAACTGACTTGATTGTCGGAGTGCCCCCGGGTGGATGAACCACCGTCGGAATCTCTTCTTTTTGTGACAGGTCATTCGGGCTTAATCTATTCTGCCAATGTTCTCCAGCTGAGTGCTTGATTGGCAGTGTGGTCGAAAATTGACACAATTTGGCATCATTTGTGGAAAAAAAATGAGAATAGATTGTCAACGACAGACAAAAAGAGAAAGTTGAGGACGACACCCCTACTGAGAGTGGGAAACATATTAACCTTGACGTCGAAGAAGACAACTGCAACGTAGAGACTCGTGATAAGAATTACGGAGGAAAGGACGTTGGCCAAGAGGGCGGTGTACCGAAGAAATCGGCCCGGAACGGGTATTATAACAAGGACGACCTCCAGATATGGAAAGATAGATGACTGTAGAGGGACGACGAGATGAAGGGAATGGCGAACAAATTGGCGGACCTGCAAACGGTCGTCAATTTCCTGATGCAGAACAACGTCATGCAGCCACCATTCCCGCTACAAGATACGCCGATTCTAGCGGCCAAGAAAGGTGCCCAGAAAGAGGGACAGAAAACGGTTCCTGCAGCCCTCAACATGGCGGGACCAAGGGACATTCTCACCGGCCTTCGCGGGAGGTCGGGCATAGAGAATCCCAAAAGACACAATCTCGGCCTAAATGATTAGGTTCAAGAAGAGAAGAGCTCAGCCTAAAGTGAGTAGATCCCAGATTCAAGAAGACAAAATCTCGGCCTAGATGATTAAGTTCGAAAAGAGAAAAACTCAGCCTAAGTTAAAGATTTTTTATATAAGGTCCACAAAGAAGTAGGTGGAAGCCATGCAGAGGGCTGGAGAATGATACTTGGGAGTTAGAATTTTCAAGCCAAGACCGGTTTAACATTTGTTGAAATTTTTAAGAAAAATTTACAAGTTGAAATTAAATTGAGGTCATATTTAACACTTGTTGAAATTTAAGAAAAATTTACAAGTTGAAGTTAAACTGATGTCATGTTTAACAATTGTTGAAATTTTTAAGAAAAATTTACAAGTTGAAGTTAAACTGAGGTCATGTTTAACACTTGTTGAAATTTAAGAAAAAATTACAAGTTGAAATTAAACTGAGGTCATGTTTAACACTTGTTGAAATTTTAAGAAAAATTTACAAGCTAAAGTTAAACCGGAGTCATGATTAAAGGAAGGAATGATATAGGTTCCATTACCTCAGGATGTCGAGGTAATAAAATCTATGGGACAGTTGTGGAGACATAATTTTTGAATAACAACACGTGGCCGAGGTGTCATCGAAATGGCCAACCGAAGGTGCCACGTGTCCTCGTCATTGACGCCGAGATGATCTTCGGCTAGGCGCGATGGTTATTCTGCAAAGATACCAGAATGCCAAGATAAAGCGGGACTAGGGGACAGAAGAGTTCTAGAATGTTAAAAGGATTTCAGTATTGGATAAAGATTAAGGACTCTTTGGATATAAGATAAAACTCTTAAAGAGATTTTATCACAATCCTACTAAGGAGTCAAGATCTTTCTATTGGGATTAGGAAGTGTTAGTTATAAAAGACAGGCACCCTATGGCTCTAAGGTATGCTTTTATGCTCTGAATAGTGAGTTAAACTCTTTTGCTATCTTGAAAGATAACTGACTTGATCGTCGGAGTTCCCGGGTGGATGAACCGCTGTCGAAATCTCTTCTTTTGTAACAGGTCGTTCGGATTTAATCTATTCTGTTAATATTTTCCAAAGTAAAACTTAATTGACAATATAATCGAAAATTGACGCACATAATTTAAAAATCTAAAATAGTAAGCTCTAATAACTTTAAATATTCCTTTGATGTTCTATTATTTGTATTTTTAAATTAATTCATGCACT